ATCGCTTGTCTTTTGTTCCTCTTTTCGATGGCAAGTCTTCGCTTTTGTTCAATCATTTCAAGTGTTTGTGGATCCAATTGACCACAACTGGTCTTATGGTTCACTCCAGACATTATCTCCCAATTCAATGGTCAGTGAACAGTGTTTTAAAGACAAACAGTTGACATGTTTTGCAAAATATATGAATTTGAAGGCAATTCACATATAATTGGCAACAATTGAGACAAACATTACATCGAAAGCATTGTTTGCGTCAATGTTTGTCACAAATGTATATATCGTACGAAATATAGTGTAATTCAATTCAATTCAATGTATTATCGCATTACTTACCAAAACTCACAATCCGTTCATTAGCTCTCAAACGCATACAACAATCAAATCTAATTCAATGCCAATCTATTCGCTCATTCAATACAGTAATTGGCGCTCAATTAGCAGTCAATCATTCATAACGTTATCAATTGGCAAAGAGTGGCGTTTTCATCAACTATAGCCAACTCAATCCACTTTATATAGTAAAGTGAATGTTTAGGGGCTTATCAACACATAGTAAGCGTAACGTTATATCGTGACAGTGGAGTGCATTGAGAACTATATTTTTGAAATGTTTTGCAAAAACAGTGAGACTTTTGTGAGTGAGAGTGAAATGGCATTGATTTGAGTGTCCACTCAATTGTCCACCAATTGGTCTCCATTCACACCATTCACATGATATAATGAGATAATGCCATCCAAGAGAAGCCGAACCAATTCACACGATTTGTTGGCCAATGGTTTGGACACTGAATCGGAGCGCAAACGGAAGCCAAAGAAGTGTGGATCAAGTGGTGATCGCAACCATCACACCAATCATAAGACATCGCAAGTGGTGTCAAACCAGTCGACAAATAGTGAGACAATTGATCCGCAATTGAATTATACGCCAAAACTGTTTGTTCGCTGCCATTGCAGAAGAAATGGTTTGTTTTGTTGTCTATTATCTGACATTGAATACCAAATAAATGATTCATTGATTGCATCCATAGATCCGTTCGACAACTCGACGAACATCTGGAGCGCAGCCTTTATGCCGAAGACTAGTGATGATAACAATGGCAATAGATTTGTGGCCACTTGTGGTGCAAATATGGTCTGTATTATCGACTGCGAGAAACAAAGCGATGTCTCGCCAGTGATGGCCAGATATATAGACACCAATGAGGACGAAGAGTTTGTATCTCTTGCGTGGACTGTAATGCCTGTCCAGTCAGTGCACACCAACACTACAGACAAGTCGTTGATCCTCGCAGTCGGAGGAAAGGCTACTATTCTTTTGATGTCGAGTCTAAATGAGTTTCATTGCTATGAGAGGATTGGCGGACATTCTGGTGATGATTGCATTCATGCCTCTAATGACCATTTAATTAATGTCTTATCATATGTTTAGATCAAATCAATGCTTTGCTCTTCACTTCATGTGATCTGCTCTTCAGTGCCTCTTATGATAAGACTATTAAGTTGTGGAGGATTTCAAGACCAGATGACAACTCTAGCACTCAGTTGTTGACCACAATTGATATGAAAGACAATCTCTTGAGTCTAAGTTATTCTCATAAATACGAGACATTGTTTGCTTCGGGATATAAAGGACTGTATTTGTGGTCAAAACCTTCAGATTTATCGGATTTGTGTGATTCAAAAGAGCAAACATTTTCGGCTCAAATGAAAACCAAATACTTAATGGACGGACTCGTTGTGCTGCCCGACGACCAGGACTTGATTGCTGTTCGCATATATTTGTCGAAAATGATTACAATTCTTGATCTCAAGAAAATGATGGCAGAGATGACCAAAAGAGACAATAGGAGTGAACCAAAAGCTATAAGTTTACTGAAAGTGACGAAAACGAAACTCAAGTCATTTGACGGCGAGTATCCATTCATATACTTATCGGCGCACAAGAATCTATTGGTCAGCGGAGGACCTAATGGTCAGATACGGCTCTATAAGACCACTGGATTGAGGGCCAGGAGTCATGAAATGACAGAAGCGGACAAAATGCTCGAATGGCCGCCAATTGAGAACATTGTCAAAGACAACCAAACCGTTATCGACGACAAGAAGCCCGTCATTGTCAACACAGTGGC